AATCCAACTTCACATTACAATAACCCATAGTTAAGCGACGCATCGAAGAAGTCCGGAAGACGTGGTAGCGAAGAGTAATTTAGATGTTCCATTGATTTACAGAAGAATATTCTGATGAAGGACATTGGCGCTAGTTTGACCGATTGACATTTTCGCTGATTTCATATTCGACAACCTTCATAGGCCTAAACAGATAAGTGTCAGTGGAAATGGCATAACAGACAATAGACTGACAACAACACAGTCTTCTGGTTGAAGTCCTCATAACGAACACAATTCATATACATAATGATACCATACATTGAATTACCGCACAATGTGAAATGCTGATGCAAATTGAACGAACAATCACCTTCTCCGCCGAACTTGCAACAATCATGAGAACCACCTGCATCTGTTAGCCTAGCAGTCAGCTAAGCAATCATTGGCACAAGATTGATAAAGTTGGGATATTTTGCATACACTGAGTCCACGTAACTAAAGTTACACTGCACCAAGCGATGTAGCCATATATTGAATCCACTTAAAGATAACCTTTCAACTTACAATAATTCCTGTCCAAACGCTTGGAGAATAAAGCATTTACATCATAACTTCCATCCTCATTTAGGGTTCTGTCAGTCTTTGCAAAGGATTTCTGTGTACTAATGTCATCCACCCATCAAACGGTACTGTGCTTCACACGAAAATAGGCTGCACTTAAAGTAGGCTACCCGTGTATATGACATTACCCTTAAACTCCAGCCTCCTGTTCATTATGACAATATTTCAACACAATCCACCAGACACACAAACCTCTACAACGAATATGCTAAGAGCGTGGCACAATCAGATCACGTGACGTGGACACCAAAATGACAGCTCAGAAAATGGCAGTTCTCATTTAATCTAGGAAACATGCAACACAATTTTGTCGAAAATTATTCACAAGAGATTTGCTAAGTTGTACGAATCACAACCATTCGGCCAGCCATTTGCCTACGGAAATTAGTTTTTCCGGTTACTGGGTAAAGAACTAGGATAAATTAGGCCCTTCTCCTTTCTACCTGATCAAGACCTGGTAAGTAATACTCATCACCATTCAACAAATGCTGAGGCTACTTTAATTAACTTGAACACATATTCTCGGAGTATGATGGAACAATCATAACAGATTTTCTTGAGGGTAGTCTGGGGATATACCTTCTATATATAAGAGGTAAAACTATCATGGAGTTCCTGATGAACTGTTATCAATGACGTTACTTATGTTACCGAGCAACTCTGAATCTTCAAAAGGCTAGAAGTCACCGTAGTTACTTCAGCCTTAAAAAACAGTAATTAAAAATTTATTTGAGTTACCTTTCCCTTAAGTCAAACTAGCCTAGCTATTCAGCTACTGTGGAGTGTTATCTGTGATGCTGCCACCCACCATGTCGATAATAATAACTGAATAGAGCCACAGAAACCAACGATCAAACAGCCTGTTCTACCGCTTCATTTCATCTGAGTGTCGGGATACTCATGGTTTTAAAACTTTCGCTGCATATGCAACTTAGTTATGTTCAGGGATCTCTGGAATTATATGATCAGGACTAGGAATTTTTGAAACTGGAAACGAAAGTAGCAATCTACATGCACTCTATTTGTGCACTGTTACAGAGTACAGTATCAAAGAAGCCTTCGCCATGCTTAAGGGGCATTGAAGCTTCTGGACCGCAAACGTCCACGATTAAAGAAGAGCACCTGTTGCTCAGACACCAGTGACACAAGTATCCATAATGAAACTGCGTTACGGAACAGTCAGTCAAATTCAACTAGCGCTGCCAAGACGCGAAGGCGTGGTGGGGGTCGAAAACTCTCAGTCAAAGTTACCCCCGAACCTTAAGGTCTAGCATCATCCATGGCACAAGTAGACAGTTGGAAGCCACTACCGAGTCCAGATGGCGAAGAAGGTGCCGGTGAGTGGCGGGACACAGATACTATGAGAGGCGTGCTGTCCATGGAGGACATGGAGACACCATCACTCCAGAGAATGGAAGCCATTCCAAGCAAACCCGGTCTCTCCAAATGGTCGGTCATTCTCCACAAAGAGGAAGAAGCTCTGGCTTCAGATGCCAAGATCAGGTTTTAACGTCACCTCAATCTAGTCAAGCCCAACTTAAACAAGCTACTGCAAACATTAATAACAGGTGTGACTGCCCAAAGCTTGTACAGGACTAGCCAAAGAGCTGGCTCAATAGTAAATCAGCCTTTACGCATTCGCAAAGTCGCCTTAAGTTCAAAAACAGAGGGATGTTACATTAAGCAATTCTCAAACACTTAAAGGATAAGGCACTAACGTCTGTGATGACTTATGCCTAGAATACCACCTCAGAAGACGGTCTGCGGCCCAAGAATTAGGTGAGTGGTTCCGAAGCGGTAAGAAGAACCTGAACATCAAGGGTTTTCGAGTTGCGAAAGTTCGAAGTCTGATGAGACTGTCACACCTGCGGCAGGAGCTTGGAAACATCAGTCTGAATAAAAAGTTTGTAAATCTAGTGCCTGCAAATAAAGTGCGCTGGGATGCATCCTATATCCTAAAGATCCGGGTGAAATGTCACCAAGGAAGCATTCGGTGTCAGGGACAAATAAGTTAAACTCAAAGTATACAGAGACCACTGACTAAAATGAGGAGGCCGCGGTGTAGTTATCTGCCTCAAGAAGTGCCTAGTCTTGTGCAGCATTGAAGCTGTCGCTCACGAATGCGGATAATGAGAACTTCTACGCTGCAGACTGAAATGCACAGGACGAATTAATTACAATTTTATGTCAATAGTATCCACACAATAATAAGTTTTCTTGTTTCGGTCATATTAATTGTACATAATTAAGGAACAATTCCAACAGCTAGCTTGGTCACCAGAGGTAATTTTACTCGGAATATTACCAAAATAAAAAAACTTATCATTCTATTAAAATATGGCTGTCATTAATTTGATCTTTTATACAGTGCACAAACCTTTAACTGACATTAATGTGCAAGGCTAGATATCTGCCTCATCGCCATACATCACAGTCCCGATGGTAATACAAAAGACTCTTGAGTAGAGTAAATAGGCTCACGGACATCTGGTTTTCGGAGTCTCGTGATGCGAGACTTTAGTGACCCAAAAGTTGGTTGGACCAGCCTTACTACGCCATACCCAGAGAACTCTTCTGACCATAAACTGTTGAAATAAATGGTGGGGCCTATTTGTCACACCTGGGAATTCGTAGGCCAGAAAGCTGTGCGTCGTCGACAGGACCAAAGCTGTTTGTTAAAATCCGAAATAAATCTAGCCCAAAATACAACTTCTCGACCCAACAAAATAGTTTGGTCCATGAACCTCAGGAATAATGCATCGATTAGGACCCCGTACCTGACTGCTAATGACGACGCAACCGAAGAGGACCAAGAAGAAAGTGAAGGAGATGTCAGACTGCTTCTCCGAATTCTTTACACTGGAGTCAGCACTCCCAGTAGCATCAGCTCCGGCCATGTCAGAGGGATGCAGGAGAGATTTCTTCGACATAGACTGAAAAACCATGTTCCATCCTTTAAGGAACTAGATGCAAGGGAATCGATGGGGCTCGACATATTTCATCTGAGTCATCTCATTTAGCCTTTATATAGTTTTGATGGATCCACCTCTTTCTCTTTATTGGATTGCTGCCTCGTGACTGTAATGTGCTTTACTAACTTCTCTCCGCGAAAGTTTTTCAAGATTCTGTCCTTCATACTGCACGGCTATCAGTCTCGTGAGCACCCTAATCAGATTACTGGAAATCATAATCAGGATAGGTGCCATGACATATCTAGAAAACAACAGCTTGTCAGTAAGAGCACAGCATGGTTTTCAGGGAAACTTCTCATGCTTTGCTAAGCTTCTTAGAATAAGAGAATATTGGCTCAAGTCACGGGACAACGGAAAACCTATCGATGTCATTTTCATAGACTTTAGCAATAACCGATAAAGTAACTCACAGAAGTCCGCTCTTGAAATTGAAAAGTTTTTGAATCAGAGGCAGCCTAATAAATTGGATTCAGGAACTCCCCATAGGTAGGAGACAGACAGTCAAGATCAGCATAAAACTTGCCTCCTGGAAAAGAGTACATAATGGAGTAACATAAGATCCCGTACTTAGGCTCCACTATTTGTGCTGTATATCTGTGACTAACCTGTGTCCACCAGATCCCCATGGTTCTCCACGAACATTACTGAAAAATTTCGAGGGAGCCAAAGGGAGATAATTACATGCTGGAGTTACAAGGAGATCTAAAAAAATCGTTGAAATGGTCCGGAAAATGGATCCTCTTGACCAATGCAGCGAAATGCGCAACCATGAGTAGTAGATACACAAGAGTCAGTTCATTCAAACTAGAAGTAATAACACTCCCATCAGCTAAGACTCACTAGGGCCTATGTGTCATAAAAAGTCACAGCTTAAAAACCGCAGCAAACTGTCTCTTGGTACCAGGTCGAATTTTTATATCTTTATGAACGTTTACTACAATAAGCAGAGGTATGTTCACTGAATTATATGCATCTCTAGGAATGTCAAGACTGGAGAACCACAGCCAGTGGTTGTCTTAAATGGGACTGAGAAATTCTGTAAAGAGTTCAATGGAAGGCAATAGGTATGACTCATAGCATCACCAATTTATCATACTAAGAAAGCCTAAAGAGTCTGAATCCCTTCCCCTTGATATACCGAAGACACACAGGGGTTCTTATTAGTGCGCTAAATTTTAAACAGTGCCTGCAGGCCTGACCTATATTTTTCCCCACTTCGTCGGAACACCTTAGAGCACATAGCAGGAGAGTCAAGGATTAACTTCATATCTGCAGAATGGTATCAGCGCCCTCTATTGACTTACTCAAATGGGATTGGAAAAGCAAAGAAACTAATCAGAAAAGGACTTAGAAAGGCTTCAAGCTTTCTATTCTCAGTCAACAAATCTGAAAATCTGCCCTACCCTAAAACTCAGGCATTGAACCATTAACTTCTCGAACTCACTACAAAAATTGCTGTACTTGGTCAGATGGATGAGATATTTGAGCGCTTTAACAAAATGTTTGAGGATATGGCTTTCTCTGGATTTTTTAACCGTAAGTTAATAATTTATAGTAGATCACTACTGTTCTATAGCAAGGAATAAGCATCTGTCTCCGCGGGATGAGATGTTGCGAAAACCAGTATGTCTTCTCAATACAACACTGACACCTATAGGAGGATGAATTCAGTGCTATGCAGACTCCGGAACCCTGGCATTTATTCCCTTTTTATGGTGACTTTGTGAAGCCAGATATGATGGACAGGAGCCTTTACGAGAAGTCGTTGGTATGTTCATGTGTTCAAACAGAAATCAATACTTTTAAGATATGTGCGTCTTCAAATTTTCATGAGGCCAGTTTTTTGTAAGGGTGATTAAGTGTCGAGATAATTTTTCATATTAGACCATTGAAAATATTATTTTCTGTTCAAAACTGTCCCATCATCATGTTCTCAAACAGCAATTCAGTGTCTGGGTTTTTATCTACATGATAATTTATTAATTTCAAGGGCTTATGATCTCAGATGGGAAGTTTATGAATCCTCAGATGTGAAAATAAAAAGCCTATTCGTGGTGGTACATTAATAAAACTACTTGGGGAGTATCAGATGAAAACGCTAGTTAAGGACAGTTATTGAAGATTCTTCTCTGACTTTCACTCAGTGTATATAAAGCACGAACTTGTAATGTTACGGTATTCCATACATCTGACTCGTTCTTGGTCATGAGGACGAACGAATTAGATGCGTGCTATGGCTTAAGCCACCTTGGATCACTAGTGAAATAAGGGGGCTATTAAGACGGAGGAAGAACTTGTGGGACTAATTTATTATGACAGGAAGGGAAATTTTCCAGAAAGACTACCGCGAAATTTGAAATTCTGTATGCAATCAACAAGAGTCTTATAGAGTACGAAAGACGGCTAGTACTGGATTGTGTTCATTACCCTAAAAGGCTGTTCTCATATATTAAACGTGGGACTAAAACCAGCAGTGGTACACTGTCACTCATAAGCATTAGTGGAGAAGCGGCTGAGTGAGACGAAGGAAAGGCTGAAAACCTCTCTGAATACTTCTGTGACTTCTCGTCTGATCGTATCACCCAGGGATATGGTGAGGTCACTGCCATCGCCACTCAGATGCCCTCAATTGTGGTAGAGCTCACAAAGGTCCTCAAACTACTGTCTAAACTGAAGCCATGTAAATCCACTGGGCCCGTTGGACTTCACCCTTAACTGTTAATTTCTTTGGCGGATATGATATATATTCCACTTACGGAGATTTTCCAAATGTCTCTGACCCAGGCTAAGCTACCCAGGGACTGGAAGGATGCCATTATAAGCCCTATCTTCAAAGAGGGGGTCAGGCAGTTGGTATATAACTACCGGCCGGTAAGTCTAACATGTATTATAGCAAAGGTATTAGAAACTATTATAAGGGATCAGCTGTTAGCTCATGTAGAAAAACATGGCTTTCTAGCTGTGGAACAGCATGGATTCCGACCAGGACGACCCTGCCTGACAAACCTACTATTGGCTAGGGAAGACTGGGTTGAAGCTAGATATAAAAAACTTTCTGTTGGACGTGGTTTTTATCGATTTTAGTAAGGCATTCGATAAAGTATCCCACTTAGGCCTCCTCAGTAAACTTAAAGGTTTCGGACTAGACCAATGCCTATGTGAGTGGTTTAGGGATTACCTAATGGATAGAAGGCAGAAGGTTAGAGTTAACAGTGTGCTATCAGGGTGGAAAGCAGTATCCAGTGGAGTGCCTCAGGGAACAGTATTAGGCCTCTTGCCATTCCTATTATACGTTAATGAACTACCAGGGATTCTTACTTCACCTTCATTATTATTCGTGGACGACATTAAGATCCAGAAAACGGTAAATAATAACGAGGATAGGTCGGCCCTACAAACTTATCTAGGTAAATTAGCTGAGTCGTCGAACCTGTGGAGTTTGGAAATTAATTCTAGGAAAAGCGCGGTAATGCACTTAGGTCAGAAGTCTTATACGTCGTACAGTCTAGGGGACACAGAACTACCTGATATCAATGGAGAAGGACCTAGGAATCATTGTCAGCAATGATTTGAAAACAACTGCAAATTGCAGTGCAGCCGCAGCTAAGGCTTTTCAAATGCTATGGGTACTTCGAAGAGCTTTCAAACGATTAGACGAGGGTATGTTCCAAATACTCTACGCAACATATGTCAGGCTTCATATAGAATACCGCATACAAGCGGCGAGTCCATGCTTCAAAAAGGAGGCATATATCATGGAAAGAGGACAGAGGGTAAGAACGAAATTAGTTAATGGTATCTCACACCTTTCTTATGATTAGAGGATGGAGCATTTAAATCTCTCCCCGTTATCATACCGAAGGAAGAGAGGCGACTTAATTATAGCATACCGTATACTTAAGGGTGATTTAGGAACTGACCTTTCTAACCTTTTCTCCCCTTCTAGGATACATTTATGGGTCAAACCGAGGACGATTAAAATACGTGCAGAATTTAGATTCTCTCACAGAGTGGTCAACGACTGGAACTCCTTACCTGATTTAGTAGTATCAACCCCATCAGTGAACGCTTTCAAAGAGAAGTTAGATCTCTACAGAGATATATTTTGCAAGGATTAACACAGGCCACAAGAGCCTTCTATCCTTATCATCTGAATCTGAAATACTAAAAATGCTGACAAAGTATACCGCACCCAAAATTGTACTGCTCGAAATCACTTAGATGTGTACAAGGTTACAGAGTTGTCTTATAAAGTGATGGCAGATACTAGTGCTGTCAGAGGTCGCAACTGTCTTCGTTTTTGGTTGATTTCACCGTAGATGTACTAATGGATGCAACCCCAGCTGATTTTGATGACTTAGGGATTGGCTTGTTACCAGTGAACTATCTCGTCAACCTGAAGTATACGGATGATATTATCCCCCTAGGTAAAGACAGTGGATTAGGAGACGTTTGTGGTGCACAGTAGTTCTTTCCGTCCTTTATGGCTGTTAAAGATGGGCATTTAGAGTGGAAGATGTTAAAAGGCTGGTTGCCTTTGACTACCGATGTCTGTGTTTTATATCCCGTGTTAAGCGGCATTGCATAGTGAGTATTATGGATCTTAGGTATAGTGTTAGATAGAAAAGGAAAGTCAGTTAGTGAGGTTGTGAAGCTGCATCGATTTTAGTGGTTAGGACGCGTACTACGCATGCCGAACCACAAACTTACTTGAAAAGCGGTGTTAGCTGACACAGGATTAGTTTGGAAGAGTTACGGGTGGTCAAACGTATCCATAATGCCCTTGATAGTTGGTTTGCACCACATAGGGAGGTGTAGGCTACCTGGTTGTTGTGTTCGAGATGCTAAGACCTAATGACTTGACTGCCGGTGGTATAGCTCAAAAGTGTCCTCTAGTGCAAATTCACTCTTTATGATCTCCCAGATCCTTTAAATTCTCCTGGTTTTCTGCTTTAGTATTGTTTCTCCCGTAAATTTCTGTTTATTGTAGTTCTTTCGAATTCCTCCTTTCCTTTTCCCTGCTTTTGTGTGCTACATAGAATGTGGCAACTTGAACTGCTGCACTTCTCTGCTAAGTTCTGTGTTGAAACTCAGTCAACCTTTGATCATGTGAAGTAATCTTTATCCCTTCTCCTTACTAAAGTTGTTGCATAGACTACTGTTTCTGTAAGCTGCATCAGGGGTGTTGTTAGCATAATGATAGTCAGAAGATATTGTGGCTAAACGTATGATTTCTAAGTTGCTTTCGGCGCATATGTTAGCGGCACTTTTTACCTACATTTGATCATCCCTACTAATAAATTTTTATTGTATGATTGGTAGGATCACTACCAGTTACGTTACAATAAAATGTCCTACAATCTCGGCTTCAGTTAGATACCCGTTTGTGACTTTTAGTCTACTAACTGATTACAAAATTAGTGTTTCTGTAGATAACTTTTTACCGACTGACCACAAAACCTGTTCAAAAATGGTACAGTTGCTCTTTCGATCCGGAATGCTACCGTGTAACTAGGGGGTAAACAAAGACCGCTTTCATACAGTTTTTACAATCATTCCCCATCATATAACCATAAATTTTCTGCAGCAGTATATTAGATGTGACAAGAGGTAAGTATATTTCAAGCATTGGTACTTTTACTCAGTAGTAGGGAGACACTGCATTCTGGCAATTTCCACATTCCAGGAGTGTGTTCTGTGCAGTCAGGCGAATTCCTGAAACGTTTTAATGTGAGTAGAACCAGAAATCAGTATAAAATAATCTATGCTTGTACAACCAAGTACAGGAACTCAACGATACCATACTTGGCCCGTGTTCTAAGCGACAGAGACAATGTTAAGCGCGAAACCTATGACTTGCTCTGTTGTTAATAACATAATTTTAGGCTCTTTTATTTCTGTCTTATTTTGTATTCTATAGTGAACTCCTTCTTAAACATACTTAGCTACCTAAATCATTAATATTGGCTTACTTTTGTACCTTACTGTATTCCTTCTTCGTGTATCTACTGGTCCCGACTATATTAGCACTATGAGTAGTACAAAATTTTCCTGTCATTAACCATCATGTAATTATTAGTTTTGTGGTTGTTTTTTCTTATTTTTTTCGGCAATATTAACTGACAATCATTGGTTGTGAACGCCACTATCACCACCTTAAAATTTTGTATTATGCAGGATTACTCACACTACCACTACAAACACTGCATTAGACCTGACAATAAAAACAAAACAACAACCCTGAAATGTTACTTTATTGATTGTTTGGAGTTGTTTCAACCAAATTAACTGATCATCTTGGCGATAAACATTCATAAATATCATTTCATAACTTCTTGTATGACTATAGGTTTACTGTCACCATGCATAATCATATCATAGCTTCCACTACCCAATACTGAGTTACTATTATATGCTGTCTATTTTCCTTCCTACTTCTTGGTATTTTTTCGCATTTTTTAAAACTATTTTGTGTCTTTCCTGTGTTTTTTTGCTGTTGGTGTCTTTATATTTTTTTTTGAAATACTCCTTTTAAACGTTGGATAGAATTAGATGCAAATATTGTAGATATGTGCTGAAAATTCCACACTGTACCACTAGTACTGTTTCTGGAATAAAGCAAATTATTATTATTATTAAATGCGTCTATTCTGATTCGTCTGAATAGTCTAGTGAAACTACGAAAAGGAATATGATCAACAAACTGCCAGTTGTGATGTTCACCACACAGACCTGACCGTGTTATCATAGGGTTTATTAGGAGTTGTCAAGTCGGTGCGTCTTCCCTGATTACATTATGCGTATGTTTAACAAAATTTACATTTCTCACGTATCAGTGTGCCGAGGATTACTAGCAGCTGTCGGTAGAATAGAAGCATCACGAATGCGGCTCCAACAGTTGGATAAGCGAGATGAATAAGGCCTCTAAAAATACTCACTATAGTTTAAAGAATCGGTTTCTAGTTATGCCAAATAATACCAAGTGTAGTGACATACAGCTGATGGATGCACAGAAAGTTCTGAGATAAATAGCAGAATTCCTGGATACTTGTCCAGTTTGTTATTGTCATTATTGTTACATATTATCCCGCCTTTTAATTGGTTTTAATTTTTCTGGTAGATAAAATCTCTTTTTTGATTTCCTTTGCTTTGTATTGTAATACGTCTGATTTTTCAATACCAGCCACAAAATGATGCACAACGCTTTGAAAAGAGAGATATTATCATCGATGATCAGGTAGCTGACTCTCCAAATGTTGGTGGGTGGGGATCTTCAATACGGAGTTGGAGCAGTTCTTTTGTCAGCAGAAAATATTTTGGAGATAACGGTGTAAGTCTTTTGTTGAATTTACTCCTATTTTTATTTTACCGCCATCGGAGAGCGTTTTCAGTGATGAGAATTCCTTTAATTGATAGAATAAGCTAAGACTTCTAACAGGCTATGACGATCAAATCGTTAAACTTTGTCTTTATTAACCGACGGTTTTAAAAAGGAAAATATTGACTGCATTACTGTTTATTTTTCCCCTACTATTTTGTCACAATCTGTTAAGTAAGTCCACCGTTTTTTCAGCTCTAGTTCCGGGCAATTCGAAATTCGCAGTGATACTGTAATGGATTATTCAGCTCAACTTTATATTCTCTCTGCTAATGTCACCTGCTACTTTTGAATACTATGCTCAAAAATTTGATTCGTTATCATTATGTTCATGTTACTTTCTCATACCTCAACCGTCTTCTTTTATTTTACTGTCTTATTATACGGCAGTTAATCAGAGCTGCACAGATTGGCTGAAGACATACGATTAATCCATAATGTTGAGCGATTCAAACGCAATTAAAGTTTGCGCATTTATCTCTTGTGCAATCACATACCATAGCTTATTCCTGCCTTCGGTCACCATCAGAACTTGCGTTTGGCCTGGTGTAGTGTCTGTTCAGTGCCAAGCCTAAGCATATATGTACACACTTGTTGCTTTTACTGAACGCACAGTATGAATGGGGACGATAATTTCTATTACAACGCAGTATATATATATATATATATATATATATATATAATATATATATATATATTATATTAGAATTGTATTTACTACTGAAGATTCGGATTTTACATAATCAAAATGTGATGAGGCTAGGGATGATGGTATTTTCATTGGTACTGTTCTCACGACATCGCGATCAGTAATCCCAAATGCCTTGGGTCATTTTCACATATTTCTTTATTGTTTTCCTACCCCTATGTAGTCTACCGAACCTTACTCAAAATCGTGAAGCTTATCCTTGTACGCATTTTAATGCTATATTCGGTAGATGTCTGCTGCGAGTTACATATTCACCATGAAAACTTGTAAAATAACGTCGAATGCAAAGACGACGTTCCCAGCAGTAAACGCCAACATCGCGGTACAGCCAGTCTTCGATGGGATGCTTAATTTGTGTCTATCGTTTCTAACGTGGTTAATGTTGTTCATACAAACGGCTGACAAACCCATTTCTGATGGGGAGTCAGGAGAGAAAAAAGATATCAAGCATGTAGCCAAACGTTTAATGTTCCGATCTGAAAGACTTCAGCAAGCAAGTGAGAATCAACTTATTCCGTTCTATAAGCTGTTGAAACGGTTTCTCTTCAGTTAACACCATAGAATATGAGTCCCATATTACACTGGCTATAACTGGAGATACTAATAGTATCAATTAATTCATTACGCCTTTCAGTCGCCTGTATTAACGCTTCCACAGTTCAAAATTAGTTATCAACAAGCAGACATAGTTATGAGAATAGAACTTGTGCACTGTGGTAGAGTATAATCATATCAAGGTGATATGATATGATTATGAGCAATAAATTGTGCTTGAAACATCATCAGTAAATATTACTGTATAACACTGTGAGACTTTATCAAAATAAAATTTTACCCATAATGGAAGCAGACATAGTATCATAAAACGGAGCGCTATTTTTCAAGCCTTGAAAGTTCATTTCGAATAGTTATTGATAAAGTCGAATAATTTTTTTCAATTCTTCTCAAGGCTGTCCTGTTTTTAATGTATTAATGTTTGAGTACAACCCTTAAAGGCAAATCAAAATGAAACCTTAGTACTAGTAATACATAGTTCCATATTAATTAATTTGATAGATCACGGTGATCCAGTATTACATTTAACAGATGACTTTTCTAAGATTCATAGTATTACAACTTATCAACTTACTGCTGTTACTTATTAAGTGTGGTTTGTAGCCTGTTAAAGAAAGTATCCGTATACATTGATAGTGGATTACCATTGTTATTATTAGCATCATTACCAACGTATGTGTTTTTCAAATGAATTTACAGCAGGTAACAGAAGTGCAGAAAAGGGTTGTCCGTGAACCTGACGGTACCGAAGTGCATACTACAATTGAGCGGTCATCTGACGGCGAAAAGAAACATGTGATTTATAAGAAGCCAGATGGACAGCAATTCAGTATCACAAATGATGACGGTGAGTGACATATATATATATGTTTTCATGATTTAGTACAAATATTCTGCTGAGTTATTCTCAACACTTACACAGGCATTTAGAAACTAAATAGAACGAAGCTTGCTTATGATATTGGTCAACATACTAAAGGCTATCGCAAACTCAACACAAGTACTATTGCATTATAGACTTGTACTTTGAACACATGACTCACCGGTATGAAGGTGAATGCTTAACCCTGAATGAGTCTGGCACACGGAAAGAATTCAATATAACTTGCAATGTGTTTTTACTTCATAACAATATTTTTTCCTTTCTTACAGAACCGCAGTCAATGATATCTAGTACGAAACAATTCTCTACAGAAAAGGCACCTTCTGGATGGTTTAGTGCATTACGGCGTTGGTATCAAGGAAATTAACTAAATCAGTTACAATGAAATATAATTTTTATTTACTTTTAGATGCGAATAATATTCAGAAAATATATTTATTTACTTTAACAAATTTTTTCATCTTTGCAAGGGAGAATAGTTCAACAATTTCTCTATTAAATCAACATGAGAGAGAAGCATTCGTCGACAGCAATAACGCCGCAAACCTAAAGTATCCAAGGCATCTCCTTCAGCGTATTCAGCTTGTAATAAGCCTATGTAGCTTTCCCATTTGTCGCCAACGACCTTTCCACACGTGAAGCAGCGTATAGGAATTATCATTTGCAGTTATACCTGAAAAACAAACGTGAAGAACATTAGTACAATCGGTTAAGGGGGATTTTATATTAAAACAATAAATAAAAACCTTTCAGTTACAGAACTTTATCCGAAACTCGTAATGGGACTTATTTCTCGTCGATTAAATAGATTTCTTAGAAAAATCCACGTGCTCGAGAGGCACATAAAAACCAAACCACATTTGTTTGCTGTAGTAGCTCACTTCTTTCTTATGAAGTTAGACCTATTGCCTTAATTCTATTGGTGTCCAGATTTTACCTAACCACCGTATTATTAGCAGTAGCACATATGCATTCATATCTTGTAGAAATCCTTCTACGAGCTTTATTTTTACTACCTTTTAACGGATATGCGATAGTGTTTTATTGTATGGTGATAATGCCTATATTCTTGATTATCTCTCAACAAGGTAATGCGTACAATTACTTTTTAACTGTTCACTGAAATGTAAACAATTCAGACATACTTCAATTAAAGAGAAGAAAGTGATAAGTAGTAAGTAGTTTATTGTGTATGTGTATACATACATATACAATCAAAATGACTGTATGATACAAATAAACAGTAAAACTGAATTTGATACAATAATAAACTAATTGTGTGGAGGTGGACTTGGAACATTCATCCCAGTTGATAACGTATTTGCGTCTCCAAATGCAGCAGTATTCAGTACTGTGTCATACGTTGGTGGTCCAGAAGAGTTTGGAATTGTATTGACGACATCTTCATACTTTGGTGGTAGCGATGAATCTGAATACATAAAATGTAACTGTTAATAGAAGTTTGGTGATAGCATGCATTTAAGTTGCGAAACAGTGAAATGTTCTTATAAAGACAAACAGTAATCTCAATTAAAACTACTAGCAGTGTAGTAAAGTGATCGTCTAATACAGGAAGTTGTTAATGATTAACAAATAATAAAAGACCCATGTGCAAACGTGATTCAATTAATTACACTGGATAAGCCTATTGTGTGGGTGGCGGCATCAACTGTCTCTCAAATTCTTGTTATAATGACATGACCACTATCAGGCCTAAATCACTTGTGTTTTATGCTAACCATATTGATCAGTCACACTGACACGTATAGTGTAACGAACAGAAATGGAAGACATTACATCCCTATTACGACACAGCACAGAACAATAAATACATGTGGAAACTATTCTCTTGTTGATAAACCACCGAATTAGTGACGTCGGTATGAAGGAAGAACACTCTTCGATGAATTCCTCAGGCTATTGTCATCATACTTATTACACATATCTTAAGATGAATCAAGATGGCAAACTTGAAAGTAGAACCCTTCAAGTTACTGAATGACAACACTTATTTTAATCAATCAAGTATAGGGATGAATTGAATAAACTAGCAACTACCTCAATAATGAGACATCATTTATGGCTTCCAACGTCCTGTCTTTATGTTCGACTAAACATTAGACTAAACCCGTGTAACTCATACTCTGAATGTTTGTTGTATCACCAAGGAATATACAAGACTGGAATGCAGTCGTTCACATAATCTGGCCAAAATGGTGAACCGACGATATTCGTCGTATGGATGTACCGACAGAACCAGGCTCTAGAATACAGAACTCCTTACTTCGATGCATTTTCATAATCTCACTCGATAACTGCAGTTCGGATGATGTTAAAATAAGAGTTTCACGAGACGCTCAATTTGGTGACGGCCGACACCGAGCCTAAAATCGGCACCGCGTTACAGTTCACCAACTTACATTGGACAAATGAGGAGATTATAGGTTCTTGTAGATTGATATCCCAGTTCAGTCTCTACTAATAATTGAAGCAATAAAGTTAAGAACAACTAAGCTTGATGCAAAGTAGGTAGGGAAATTCAGTTGACTAGGCTGTAGGACTTTATGAACTAAGATGGTTGCGATAAATGTTACTCGTACGTCGAGCCACTGCTTTTATGGACAGGCACTGTCGGCTGTAACAGAATTGTCTATCTGTCTGTTTTCGACGTAGAACTTTGCACTGATGTGCAGCAGTTCAAGTCGCCACACTCCCTCCATGTAGCACACAAAGCAAGAGAAAAAAGTAGGAGAAATGCATATCAGAGACAGTAAACAGAGGTGAGAGACAAAGGAATAGTAGTAACGAAGAACAATATAATTTCATTGGAAATCATAAGTCACACGGAGTGGATGCATCTGCGCCACTAAGAACGATTTTGAGCCATATCACTAATTGTTTCCAACCATTGGTTTTTACCGTCCTGAAGACCCCAACCAGGAAGTTTACACCTTCCTACGTGGCTTAAACTAACTGTTGTGGATTTCATTGGCTGATGCCATGTTTTCGTTTGACCGCCGCTAGCTCTTTTGCAGACTGACCCTATGTCAGTTAACATTGTCCGTCGAGGAAGGCGATCACTAGGCATACGTAACACATGTCCTAACCATCTCAGTCGATGTAATTTCACAACCTCGTCGATTGATTTCCCTTCCTTACCTAGCACTCCGCGCCTAACCGCAATATTGCTCACCCTTTTATACCACTTCACACGGGAAATAGAACGCAGGCACCTATGATCAAAGACAGCTAATCTTTTCATGTCTTCCACTCTCAATGGCTAGGTCTCACAGCCATAAAGGAGGACGGAGCAGACTGCTGAGCAGTACACACGCCCTTTGGTCGACAGCCAACCAGATATCACGTCTACGCCAGAGACGGCGTAAACTGGCATATGCAAAACGAGCCTTCTGTATCCGTTCTGAGATTTCGTCAGTGATCAACCCGTTGGGGCTGATGCAACTTCCAAATAAGTGAAGTGGTCAACGCGCTCTACCACTCCACTCCTTATTTCTAAGCTAGGAGTTGATGTGGTCCAATCCTGTATCATCATCTTACATTTGGCGGGAGAAAATTGCATACCAGACATACGCAGACTGCAGCTCAAGGTTTTCAAAAGACTCTGCTCTATTTCATCAGTGTCTTCACTTAGAAGACTATATCATCTGCATATTCTAAGTCAACGAGATTATTCCCTGGTTACAAGTCAATCCCTGAGTCGCTGAAGTCAGTTAGGGTTAAGTCCATTAGTACATCTATGATGAAATTGAATAGAAATGGGGATAATGGGCATCCCTGACGGACATCACTAGTCGTCACCACTTCAGATGACAACTCGCCATAAGCCCTCACCTGGCTGCATGAGTACGAGAAGAGTGCCTTAATCAGTGCAATGTATTTTCTCGGCATTCCCTTTACAGCCAAGCATCGCCAGAGTACGTCTCGGTCGACAGAGTCGAATGCAGCCTTTAGGTCAAGAAATATAATGATTGTTGGACGCTGGTAAGAATGCCTATGTTCTAGAATCTGTCGAAGGGTGAAGATATGATCAAAACACCCTCTTCCTGGCCTAAAACCTGCCTGGTTCTCTCGTGTTTGTGCCTCCCGAGCACCACTTAGTCTACGCAATATTATTGAGCCTAGGACTTTACGTACTATATTAATCAACTTAATCCCTCTGTGATTATCACAGGAAGACTTGTCTCCCCTCTTGTATATGGGGATAATCAGAGACTTACACCAACCCGATGGGACTTCCTCTGATTCCCAGACGCTGCCTAGGTCCTCAGTTAACGCAGACAGTAAACTGTCTCCACCGTACTTAAATACCTCTGGAGTCATTCCATCAGGTCCTGCTGCTTTGCCTTGTTTCAGACTAGTGACAGCTTTAGTAACCTCAGTTAGGGACGGAGGACCTGTTTCTATATCCCATTCAGGGAGGTGATGTATGTTCGGCAGGTTGAGCGTGACTGTAGGCCAATTAAACTGCCCCTCATAGTGTTCTTTCCAGCGTTCCAGTCGTCTATCCTGGGAGCTAACTATGGTGCCATTTTTCTCAGATTTTTCCACTTATCATTTGCCTTCAAAGAGTTAGATAAGGCCAGACAAGAACATGGTATCAATCGCAGTTAGTTTGAGTCGTACAAGGTGTAGATGCTAAGAATCAATGGTTGGAAACTCGGTGATGTGGCTTCAAATTAATTGAAGTGTGGTGCAAAGTTATTCGTTACTTGTTATTTTTCCGGTTCTGAAAATCTTTGCTGACTACTGTCTAGACCAATGAATCACAACTTGTGACTGAATATAAGATGCAATTTAGTCTATCATCATCTATGCAGGTGAAAAAAATCCCCAAATCTATGACCAGACTACTCTAGTGATTTCACTACAAAGACATTAAATATCCATCTCTTCGAAGGGATGTGATCTATATTCAAAAACACTGATGACCTCTTCGGGCAAGACGCTATAGTGTAGCTCATAGCTTTAAAATCATAGAGCGACAGCGAAACTTACTTTCAATAAGTGGCTGAGCGATCAAGGAATATCTAGAAGTACAGTCTTCCAACGGCCTTTGATTTCTTCTACAACAACGAAGAAACGGGAACGAGTAACACCCGACATCTACTGAAAACACCATACTGTTTTCAGTACGCACAGGAAAGCCTAAAAGGAACTTATAACACAGCCAAACCATGTGCAATAAGTAACCTTTAAGACCAAGAAGCAAGATACCAACGCATATAACCAGCATCCTCAGTCCTACCTAAAATTGTAACAGGTGTAAAAAAAGATCAGAACCGTATGCAAGGCGAAAATTAACACTTCAAGCAAGTACACAACCATTTTAAGCTTCAGCACCCACTGAATTTTGCGTTTTAGTGAAAAGAATTACTACGTTAATTAAAGCTAATTCATCAGTTATCACTATTAGTTTGTTGACATATCCCAATTTACAGTTATGGTGTAATAGAATAGATCCTGAGTACCAGTTAGTAGTTAGTACTTTGTGCGGAGATTACATCTTAATTTTATTGCGAAAAAAGTGATACGTCAATATTTATTTACTGATGACGTTCCAACTGCAACTTACTGCTTATAATCATACACGAAAGATTTGGTTTATAAATTGTCACACAGATCTGATGTCGTGTGAAATAAAGTGGTTGTAGCACTGCTGAAATGAACGACATCAAAACGCATCGTACCCTGTCCTTTTTATTTAATAGGTTGACGACTTATTACGGTATATTGAGGAAACCGACTGAGATGTATACCATGTAGTTTTCAACAAAATATGACCACCACCGACATTTGCCTAGTTGACTTAGAGTTTGCCTCGGACCAATGAGCCCCGAGGCCGAATTTCGCTTAAACTACTTTAGTCTGGGTAGTATCAGTTACTCACAGTGTGACTCATAGCTAGGTACCCGGTTATTTAGTTATAACTAATCAACGAAATGACTGCTCATACATTAGATTTACTTAACTAGTTTAAATGACAATCATTTTAAAATATTCGATTTTATACGTACACTTTAAAATAAAACTTACATGAGGAGACATCCACTTCTTTCTGTCTGAAATGTAGGAAAAATAACCGAAAACTGAAAGACATGTAACGAAAAAATCCAGAGACTAGTAACGTAATTCAATGATACACTATTTTACCTGTAGGCAAGAATACGGTAGTACGTAGCGAGACTTTGCACGCACAACCCCAACGAGTAGCAGCATGCAGCAAAACAAAGAAAATAATGTTAAAGCTACTGAGACGTATTCTTCACCAGAGTTTAGAAATTTTGCTGCACGAACATAAATAGATGAATCACCATACTCTCTTTTGTCATCTGTCCATATTTAGTGAAAAACAAGAAAAACAAACTTCGTTTATCTTCAGTAGCAAATTGCACCCCGGATACATTTTTCTCAGATACGTTATCAAATGCAACAAAATACTTGTCTAGTAAATTGACAAATCGCTCCCATTGCATGAAAGACATAACACCAAGACCATAAACCACATACTCTGCTTCTGCACGACATGATGAATGCCCGAGAGCAACAGTAGAAATGGTAATAACAACGAGGTGTACTAATACTTGAACCAAGGCAAGTAATAAAGTTCCTGTTCTGACGTGCAAGTATCCGAAAAACTTATATTTCGGAGGGACACGCTCCACTTGGAATATACAAGACATTTTGCAGTGGACTAAATGCAGTTACTTGGCGGAGGAATGAGACTCTAAAACCATCTGCCTGAGAAATCCTGAAAGTAAAATAAATAAAGGACAGTCACTTAGCAAACGAGTACCACAGAATATCAATCCATTAAAGTAGTAAAAGTCAGTTATCATGGAAAATCCGAATAAACGTAGTTTTAGGATTTCTGTACATAAGCACCGCTGAACAACATTTTCTTGAGAAAGTTTCTACTCAGGAAAAGTTCAGTAAAAAATTGAGGAAAGGGTAAAGAGAAATATTCTCATATACCAGACGTTGTAGTTCGCCTCGCCCCCAACCTGTGAGTGAATTAGTGACCCGTCGTCCTAAATGACTACATCGCTAACCTTGCATACTTACTGCTAGTCTCTGATAATTTGAACAGCCGTCCGCTGTTACTTATGGTTACTGGTTTCTGAATGTCCACATTAATTACCTATGCTAATTTGTAAAAATTGTTACGTCTACATGTCTGATGTTTTCATGAAACAATTTGTCATATCGGCAAGTTTTTTTGGTTTGTGATCATGTATACAGGTGCACATGATGACTTTATTCAAACTCTATTGGCTTTCCCAACTTAACTAATAAAGGCTCAATGTACGTTTGTTAGTGTTGTATGCCTAAGCTTACCTGATAAATATATAAACTAATTATATTGAGTTTATGTAAATAACTCTGAATATCCGTTATTGTCATAATACAAAACTCCTGCTGTAAGCCCTTTTGTTCATCAGACGCTGATAAAATAGTCATATGAATACCGAAGTTAGGCGTCGAGAGTATTGGGTTAGGAGGGAGGTCAGTCGATGAGATTATGGTGCATTCTTACTCAGTGACGCAGATGCATTCACTCTTTGTATTCTGCCTTATCCATTAAACCCTATTGTCTTCGCATGTCACCATTCCTCTCACTCACATCCTTGCTTATTATCGTTTTTTTCGAATATCTTTTTCCTTTCTTGTGTGTTACATAGTGTGGCAACTCGAAGTGCTGCACTTCTAGGCGAAGTCCTATGTTGAGGCTAGTCAGTTCTTTCCTTTAGCGACCCTGCGTCTAAGTTATAGCTAGTAATTTGTTTGTTAACTATGTCTTGACTGTCGGAAAGAAACAGTTCACCTTCCTTGTATAACGCCCTTTACCTCTCAAAAGGACTGACGTACTACTATAGAAACGTGTTACAAAGTAAAGGCCTGATATACTAATTTAAAAATGGGATCGTCATATGCAGTCTGATGGGACCGATTTCTTCTCTACCAGCAGAGATTACAAGTGACATATAAAGTATTAAATTTGCCAGTCCAGCTTAATTCCTCATGTGAATATGAACTATCATTATTTCCCGTGCTTCTAAACTTTCATAGAGGCTCTTAGTAGAACAGAATTATACAAGAAAATGGACTGATTCCTTTATGTGCACATATACTTCAGATCGCAAAAGACCACTAGATATGAAAGGAAGAATGCATGGAATTACCACAAAACTTGCTTTTAATCGCTTTAAAAGTTCCTAAATCAAGCATACAAAGCTCTACTACATTGTTTAGTTTATAACGATGAACCTGAGTACTAGGTGGGAGTCTTGTTATAATTTGTTAAATGATTACACAATGGTGTAATGGATGGTATTCATGCAGTCGTATGTTGGTTGGAACCAATTGGTCAGGTGTGATTCGGCAAGTAAGTTAATTGATAATTTGTTTTCTCGCCCATATACAACATAATTAGACAGTAAATGCCAGTAAACTTCGACGTAGGTTGGTGCTTGTCAATGAAGTACGTCCGCAAAATCTGAGGAATTCTTGTTCTAACTCTAAACCAAGTTTGTCAACGGAAGGAGGCCAATAACAAAGAGTACCAACCTAAATGAAGAACAGCATAATCAGTCTACTCACTAGTTGAAAAATCACCAGAAGAAAAACAGGAATTTTCAGAAAAACGTAGTGGCGGAACGCACATGCGTGCGAAATAAGGCGTTTGTCCAGAACGCATGAAGGAAATCAAATCAAATTCTGATGTTGAACCCTATGCGTGCAAGTAATCATATTTACCCACTATAGCAGCCCAGCTGACATTTTCTCTGGGTCGACTGCAGACACTTCGGGGCAAAAACTCAGGGCACATTGCAGAAGGCGACACAGTTGTCCGCAATCTGGCCCAAAGTGTCTGCAGTTCATCCATTTTAAATGCTGTGTGGGAGGATAATTATAATAAACTGTGAATTCATGGTTCTTAACAATCTCCCCATCACGTCTCCCGGCAATATGAGTATCCTCTTAGAATTTGAACATATATATTTAACCTAAAGTAACCACCGATTTGTAAATGAAATCCAGAAGTTCATTATTTTGGTTTGTAACACGAATAAGTCTGATATGTGACGCGATGCACAGCACACTTGCATTAAAGTGATAACAAATAGAATAGGAACTCCACCTAGGTTAAGAAGGACAAAATTTCAAGTTCCCGCCTGCGGGAAAAGCTTGTAAACTGCTCTTTAATGAAATTATAAAACAGTGATCTAGGTGGGAGATGGTGTGAACGGTCTTCCGGTGACCAGCAGTAGAGTTACTACGATATAACGCAGCTTTAGAAGATAAATCATGCTCACTATTTATGCCTAGTCATGTACCGGATTTAATTGAGAGTTTTCAGTGTGAAAAGCGCGGAAAACTGAATCCACACCTTCTGTAATCTGTCATATTTGTATCCGCAAAAAGTGAACGACAGTTAAAAGGACGAAAGCTGCTACTTTTTTCAGAAACTGGAGGTTATTTTTTATTGTTCTAATGGTGACTTATCATTAATCTTTAAATAAGACAAGTTTACATGACTATTTGTACAATAAACATATTTACATGTCGGTGCATTTGCCATACGGGAGCATCTGACTCTGGAGACACAGTCATAGATACATCTTCCTGAAGTCTTTCACCTTAGATGACCGCGTCTCATAGCCAAGAAGAAGGACCCAGAGAACTACAGTACGGCGCCCACCTCTAATTGACTGATGTACGTTACATCTACGTCAAAGAGGACATTAGTTAGGAAGTGCTACACAAGCTTTCTTTGCCTATGTCGAGAATTTTTCAAAGGTGAATTCATTAAGGCCGGTTCAGATTATTAAGCAAGTAGAGTGTCGACACAGTTAATCACTTCCAATCTTTAAACCAAAAGTTCAGCACAGACTGGACCTGCAGTATATCCATTTATCCGACAGTGGCTGATTAACTCTCGAGTATTCCAAGGTGTCCACAAGATTCTGTATTTTGTAAACGTCTTGACCAAGAACGACAACATTAGCTGCAAACTCTAAATCAACAGGTGTATCCATTAGTAACATGTCGATTATTGCCACATCTATTAGAACATAAGGGTGAAAATACATGAAAATGGATACATCTGGCACCTCTGGTGGAGAATAGTGGCGTTTGTCACTACAGGCCACAATCCTCATTTGGCTTTCACACAACTGCATGTGTTCGATATCATTGGACTGATTAGTGAGACACACATTCTCGGCACTCTCTTCACGACCAGTAGCTGCAAAACACTGTGGTCAGTTGGGTTAAATGCCACTTTCTGGTCAAAAGCTGACAAAATCCATCGAAGCCGTTTCATATTCCTACACATTATCTAATATGCTTTTTTAGCAAATGATCAGCTAAACCACAACTATATACCCACTTCTTCTGTTCCGATCGAATTAAAAATCGCTTCCTCAACCTTCAGAACTCTTGAATGAACGTGCCTGCAACACACCCAGTAAAACACTTGCTGTTCTATATATTAGGAGTCATGTATATAAATCCAGATGAACCAATACAAATCGGCAAGTGTGAGCTAATTTTCCTGATTTTCATGGACGCAACCAAGTGAAAGACCCAGATAATAGTTAGCCGCTTCGCCATAAGAAGTAAAAAAATTAGTTGCTCTTGCCTAAGAGATATAAACCAGCCGCTCAGCGAAGAGATATTGCAAAACGAATATATTGTCAAGCTATACAGCAGGATATATATGGTTTTAAATAAATTATATTCAGTGAGGGAATGAATCATAGTCGTGAATACATAAGATGTTAATGGTATGGAATGCAATCAAAATGTTTGTGATTTTATTTATAGTTAGGTGTGAAGTGGCAAAACAATTATTAATGTCATATATAGAATAAATAACAGAATAAGTAGAACTCAGGAGGGGTGTGCAATTGTTGAACTAGTAGGCAAATAGAATAAAATTAAAAACGTTACGTAACACCGTGTGAAATCCGATAACATAATTTAATGTTGCAAAGCAAAGTGGATTTAGATTGACGAGTGGAACAAGTGGAATAATACTGGGGACAATTCAAAGTGATAATAGTAGTAGTAACAATTGACATAATAAGGGAAGGATATACAAAATGAATAAATAAGACGGAAAATGGGTAGAGCGAAAACATGATTAGGGATTTCATTACTTCAGCATAGAGGTGTTAAGACAAAGACACTTGGATGGGTTGAACGAACTTCTTATGTATACAAAGATCCAGCATTTCGGAAGCGATTACCAATTCTCCACTAATTCCGTGCGCGCTCCTTGAATACGACGTGCTTTTTCCTCTCTAACCGGAAAAAACTATTTTGTGGATTATCCGCTTGGGAAACCTGATCTTCCTAGCCAGTGAATTAAATTCAACCATTACTTGCACATTGAATCTCTGTGTGGTAAGTCCAGCTGTCTCGAACTACTGCCAAAGCTTCAGGTGCTACTTTTGTAGCAGCATCTTCCTCACTCGTTCAGGTTAACAAGACTTGTCGGTCTACCACGTGATTGATGTGAAGCCGATCATCCAGAAATTACTAGGTTAAGTCGAAAACCTGCAGAAAAGTACAAAAGTACAAGACCTGCCAAAAATTGGCACAGACAGTAAGAAGGACACTCCAGTCCTACTGACTGAAAATGCCAATTTTCATAAGGTGAAGATTCAAAAGGTTGGAACCACAAAATCAAGGGAAGAGAGAATTAGAAAAGTACCACTTGCATCCACAAGCAAGCTCGGCAACACAACAAAGGCTGGACAGAACCTGATGAAGCCTAAAGTTGCTGATGCTGCAAAGGAATATAAGAAGCCAAAGGCCAAACCTAAGTCTGAGGTTAATCGGTCTAATTCTCTCATCCTCTTTGACGTATCTGTGAGCAAGGACAGCTTGCTTGAAAAGCGGGCTCTGTTTGATCAGGAACAGTGGTTCAACCTGTGCAATAAATTAGGTCTGAACACTAGTTCAGTGAAATTGTGCAGGCTGTACAGGGGTGTCCACACGCCTCAGGGTAAGCCATCCCCATTAAGGGTTACACTGGACTCTGCCGAAGAGGCCGAAAGAGTACAATTGATGGCTGAGGTACTAGCCACCAACAGAAGTTCGAACATAAGGGTGAGACAAGAGAGACCATGGGCTATCAGACAAATGGCGAGGGGGTCACCGGAACTTTTGCCTTCTACCTATATGGTGGTACACGGTGTTCCGGAGCTGGAAACGGGCACTGCTTGTGAAAAACACATGCATGAAGTACGGCAGTGGAGATGGCTGTCGTCTCAGATGGCCCTTGGTGCTTCTGAAGCCATTTCCATTTCCCGACTACCTCGCCCCACTCATTAGCTCTCCAAAGCTGCTAAGTGTCACATTCAACTCCCCAGAGCAGTTGGCCATACCACTTCAACGGTGGTATGAGATCAAGGGGAAAATGGGAGGAGACATCCGATGCTGCGAAAGCAGACCTCGAACCATAAGGAGGCGGCAAACTGAGGCTTTAATACGTCCCCAAGCTTCAGTGACACTGAAGCGATGCAGTTCTGAGAACAACAGTCTGTGTCACCCAAGTGTCCTGCCTAAATCCATGGAAAAAACCACAACGGGCCGTTTCCATCGGAATCGGTCAACTAGTCCCAACATTAAGTCCCCTACCAGCAGACAGCTTCACGTCAACTACCCCACAACACGGTGAGGTTGTAAGACTCACTGTCAGCTGCCTGTATAGCAATGTGAGGGGGCTGAGAGTAAAAATAGGTGAACTCCGAAATCTCCAAGCACACCTACAACTGAAAATGATAGTTCTCACCGAAACATGGCTAACCCCAACTATCGCCGACAACGAAATCAGTACAGGTGATATGGTTCTGTTCAGGAGAGACAGGGATAATAAGGAAGGAGGGGAGTTGCTATATACTTTGATAGGCAACTTAAATGTGTGCGCGCAACGGACCCACTACTTATTGAACTCCCAGACTCCATATGGTGTCATTTCACCGTAGGCCACACCAAGCATTCACTTGGTGGCATCTACCGATCTCCCACCTGCGGGGCAGAGCACAATCAGCTACTGCTCAGCGCTATCACAGGGATCCGAGACTTGGGCTATGACCAAATTACCATTGCTGGAGATTTCAATGCCCCATCACTGAAATTTGGCTCGAGGTATGCTAAGGGAAAATTCGGCCGAAATCTTCCGCAAGCTATCCGGAACACGGGACTGACTGAGAACGTTCGAGACGACACTAGGTGGGGCCCTAGTGGAAACTCATCAAAACTAGACTACATTCTAACTAGTGACTAACTACTCGTCGAAAAGGTCCAGATCATCACTCCTCTAGGAAGTAGTGACCATGCAGTCATAGGTGTCGATCTCGTTCTCCGTGAGCATTTGCAGTGGGACGTCACGCAACCATGTCTGTGTTACAGCAAGGTTGACTATGCTGAAATGCGGAGGCTCTTGTCCGACGCAGACTGGCCCTTAGCATGGGATGAGCTATCTGTGGATGAACACTGGGAGGTGGTAAAAAGATTATTCACACAGTAATCCCGGATAACATCCCTTTAGTCACAGCCCAAAAGAAAGTCATCATGGTTAAAGAGAGGCACGCAAAGTATTCTGCAAGCAAAGCGGAAGGCTTGGTTTACGTGGCGCGTATCTAAGAGTCAGATCGACCATGATGCATACCTGGAACTCAGGAACCGGTGCAATGCAAGAGTCAGGAGGGACAGGAGGTCTTTCCAGGCTAACCTTGCTAAAAAACCCTTGGCAAACCCCGAGAATTTGTACCGATTCATGTCGGAAAGAAAACCAATCAACCAGGGGGCATGCGCCTTAGTAGGCCAAAACGGTCAATATCTCACTAGTCTGGGGATGGCTGAAACGTTTAGTTTAGCCTTCGCCAAACAGCTAAACAGCAATGTGGGTATTACCGTTACGGACCAAAATGGTGGCACCACTATTTCACAGAAGGAAGATCTAATGGTTACTCCCCAAATAAACCCTGCAATAGTACTAAGAAAACTACAGCGACTCACACCTGGGAAGCCCCCAGGTTGTGACGACATCAGGCCATCTGTTTTGAAACACTGCACCGAAGCTCTCTGTAGGCCTTTATGCCACTTGTTCCGACACTGAATGGATTTGGGGGAACTGCTAAGGGAGTGGAAAAGAGCCATCCTTTCTCCGATCTTCTAGAGTGAGGATAGGCAAAATGCCACCAGTTATAGACCAGTAGCTCTACTCCCAGTGGTATCAAAAG